GCATTGATTTAGCTGCCGCTGAACGATCGATAAAACGCTACGGACCAGTGGCATTAGATGATTGGTACAGCCATCCAGCCAATCCGAGAGCTTGAAACTGTTTCATGTAGGATTCTAAGGGATTGTTTCTTTATGGAGGATGACAAGGGGAAAACAATACAAGCACCACGACTTCTAGTCATGGGCGGGCAAGTGAACTTACCTTGGCGACTGAGGCTTCTCACCGGACGATAAACCCTCAAGATACTTCCACCATGTTAGGCGTGCTTCATCATCCACTTGACCGGTGTTCACTCTCTCGTAGGTAACCACCCAGTGAAACCCATTTGCCGTAGGAGTGTGGGCCAGTAGCATTACTTCCGAAAATGCAACCGGAAGCTTTCGATCTTTGTCGCGAGGCACAATCGTCTGCCGTGTGACATCAATCTGCGGGACGGGTAAGTGGGTTGGGTGAACGACATACGCTATTTTCACTATTTAGAAATATCAAGCACATCGATGGATATCAAACGGCTTTTTAAACTGCGCACAAAACGCGACTGGAGATACTTGGAAAACCGACACGACGCGGGACGTTGTCACTAAATCAGGCAAAACTAACTCGAGTCAGTCTTGTGTTAAATAGTTCTTTAGTACGTAGTTGATGGTATGACTGGTAGTGAAAGGTCTTCGACCAAATTGCTCAGCATAGCGAACCAATCCACGACCAGTTCCCAAGCGTGCTCGCTTGCTGCTAGAGTCGTACACCTCTGCTGACTACCTTGGTTCGGAAACAGTGTACGGCAATATTGACGAGAAGCGGTTGTGCCCTTTTAACAGAATTACGCAATGTCTTACGGCCAGACAAGATGAACCAGGCGTGATGTAATGTCACTAAAGGCAGTCATACGTCCATTGCAATTTGGATCGTAACAGATAACGTTTCTATAGACCTGTCTCCAAAGTACGAGACGTCAAACAGTTGTTGTAAATGACTCACTTTGGTCACATTCATGTCCGAACCACTGAGATCCAACAACTGAAGACTACCCATTGCACCATTGGTAAGTATCATATTATCGGTAGATTGAAGACACGTGGACTGGTGTTGTTTCGGCAAGATGATCATATTGGTCGGAACTTCATTCTTGAGTTGATTCAGCCAATGTCTTGGCATTTCCACAAATCCAGTATGTGTATAGATGGGTTCGAAAGCGCCGGAGAGAATATGGAACGCTGGATGGAAATTTACGGTGAAATTTACGGGTTAAAATTCGTACATAGGTAACGAATTAAAAAAAATTTAAAGTGAACAAGAATGGTTAAAAAACGTTCAGCTGTAACTTCCTTCCGGTGCCTCGCTATCATGCCACCCGAAGAAAGCGTGAGGGCTGAGATACTGCCAGGTTCCCCAAGCCTAGACAGGGGAAGTCGAGAGGCGGAGGTCGGATTCGAACCATGGACCTTCCGGTCAGTAAATTCGCGCTCATGGCAGAGTGATACTCAGATCAACATCTTGAGAGTGGCTGATTGGACGATAACCCCGGTTATCGTTGCTGCTAAACTGTACAGTGGCGTGGTATTGGTGTTGTATTGTCCATGATGATGACTTCCATACTGGAGGCATGGTTCATAGTAACTTGAAGGTGAAGAAGAAGGGTCTGACAAAGTGATCTATCTACCTGACCTAAGTCTGCCTCTGTTCTCTCAGTAGCGCGGACACCAACGGTTATCCATGATTGGCCGCAGGGCTGGAGGAGACACAGAAGCTATCGTTCATACGAATGACAGGCCTGTCGTATCCACATGGAGCATTGTCATGGCTATAGCCTTCGTTTGTGAGTAACAAGTACACACTAGTACATCATTCCCAAAAGGGGGTTGATATTAATACTCAGTAACGACTAGTATAGTGATAAGAAGCATCGTTGGCAGCACGTCAATTCAACACCGACTCTTGATTGCTGCACAGTCAAAGATTCAGTCGAGAGCTCTGTTTTGAAAAAGCATCAAAGAAGGATCGGGAAGGAACCTAGCGCGAGATCAGTATATTAATTCCCACGCAGCGTTCAGCTGTAGCACTCTTCCGGTGCCCAACTGCCATGCCACCCGAAGGAAGCAGGAGGGCTGGGATACTGCCAGGTTGCCCAAGCCTAGACAGGGGAAGTCGAGTGGCGGAAGTCGGATTCGAACCACGGACCTTCCGGTCACTGAATTCGCGCTCTAACCACTTGGGCCGACTCGCCTCCCACGTACCTACACCCCTAACCATTCATTTGGACAAACTGGATGGAAAATGGCAGCGAGAATGCCACTGATATTGATTAGCAGTCATTTTTCCCAATGTGCCTGAGCAAACACAGGAAGGATTGAATGGACCTCATCCTGGAAGGTTGGAAACCCAGACTTTTCGTAATCGTTTTCATACCATTCTGTCAGATCAGCACGCGACCACAACTCTGCCTGCATCACTCTGAACTGGGCATAGAAAAATACTTTTTTTCGGAAACCGATGATTCACCATGCACAATACATGATAAGACCATCGCAGCTGCTGGTACTGGATACATTCTCCAATTACAGTCCTCGTTGCACAAGGAGTTCTCTAATAGTAAAGTTGCAAATATGTTGGTACCAACTTACACGAACCCTACTCCTGCGACACCGGTTAGCCACCCAAGCCATACTTCAAGACAGCTCACACTGTTGCCTGATACGCAAGTCCATTGAGATACACCGCTTTATCTCCATAGGCGCATCCCGAATCGACCTAATGTGTCACACTAGAGCCGGTGCTTCGATTGTCGCCTCCTGGATCTCCCAGAGGCATTGACTTACACTCTGCAGGTAGGAAATGCGTGATGATTGTGATCATATCATTCAAAACACCTGTGACCTCGTTTTTTCCTCGAAAACAGGAAGTGTTATGGGCGTATGGCAGGTCGACAAGACTTGTGTCGGGAACCACTGGAAAACCAGGTTTTAAAGCCTAGGGCATGTCTCTTCATCTATCCAACCAAGAAACTGAATGGAGAGAGAGAGAGAGTGGGCATCCTCGTCGGACAGCACTTTTTGTGTAAACGGTTTTGGTGAGTTTCCCGTAGACACTAACAGGCCCGGAAGTCGACGAATCCAAACAGCTTACTATATCCACAAATTTCAGAGACATTCGTTGCTGAGTAAGAATGCTAAAGAGGACGGGAAGGTCAGATGCGCCTTGGGAATTCAGGAATATTAGAATGTGGGTCGGTTGTACCCACTTGACGGACTGTGGAGACATGGTCAGTGCAAACTCTACGAGGCCTCGAACCGTTAATTTACGGGCTATTTTACGGAAATGAAGGACAGACAACGCTAAAGACCTGCTTACAACTAGAGAGATACAATGCATTGGACAGAGGGGGGAAACCTTGGGTCAAGAGGTCACACTAAACGGTTCTCTACAAAATCGCGCAGCATTCCACGTTCTTGAGGATAGGACAAGAAAAATCAGACTCGTGGCCTATTACGAGCACGATGATGTTAGCTATAAAAAAACTATGTGAACAATGCAAACTACGAAACGCAGACCAATATCGAGCGTTACTGAAAGACTCGGCAATTGCAGAACATGCACTGGACACGGGACACAAAACAGATTCGGAAAGTGTTGAGATAAGTTTGAGGCGAGGACTACGGTCCACCTCACAGAGACTGATAACCGAGGCGGTAGAAATCGCCAAGCCTCCCAGTGTCAACAGAATAGAAGGCGAGGAACTGACAAACGTGTGGAGAACTGTTTTGGGTCGGTCGAGCTGACACGTGTTGGTGTGCGATTACCAGGGGGAAGAGTAGTCATCATCTGAATTCCACTTAATCTCACACCCCTCCTCAAGTAAATTGTCGCAGCACTCACAAACCCACTGAGACCAACGAAATCAACCAGTGGTACCCGCGTTAAATTATCGGTTGAAGATTAAGGAACCAAACCCGATTGGAACTAATTTCAAACTCCTCCAACCCATCAATACAAGATTTTGGCATCCACACTAACCGACAAGAGCTGTTAATGGACACTCAAACAGTGATCTAGCACGCTAATATGAAGACGTCTGTCTGCCTTAAAACCTGGCCAACTTGGTGACCCGTTCATTTGGCCTGATGAAGCGAAATGTTGCCCAAAATAAAAAACTATCGATTGTTTACCAAGCCCTCCTGAAACGGTAACTTCTCAACCGGTTCCAAAATTCTCCCGAATGATTGAGAACTATGCAACCAGGGGCGAGATGACCCAAGTGGTTAGAGCGCGAATTTACTGACCGGAAGGTCCGTCGTTCACACCCGACCTTTGCATCTCGACTTCCCCTGTCTAGGCTTGAGCAACCTGGCAACATCCCAGCCCTCTTGTAACCTTCGGGTGGCATGGCAGTTAGGCACCGAAAGAGTGCTACAACTGAACGATTTCGATGCAACCAGTTTATCTCTGCAGAAGAAACAGCTTCAGAAAACTAGACGAACTGAGTCGCACTGGTAACAAGGACAAGTCGAAAAGAAATTGTTATGAAATGGAAAGCAACCCACTGTTGTGTTCCAGAGTGACCACAACAGCGTCTTCAGCCGGTCCTCCAGGGCAGTTCACCTGAACAAGAGGCGAACCTAGATGTGGTAGAAAGCGGCGATGTTGAGGGCCACCAAGACAATCCGTCATGTCCCATTTGACCAAAACACCTTCGAGCCCTCCGGATAAGAGATGACTCCCTGAAGAGTTGGATAAGGAGAAAGGGCAAGCATTGCAATCAAATTACAAAGACGACAGCAAAACCAAACAAAAACGTTCCCCACGAGGGTAAACAAATCAGAATAAAGGTGAAATGGAAGGCCAACGCGAGTACTTCGAAGCTGAAACGTACACATTGGTATGGTGTTGTGACTTGCTGAACGGTAGCGCAACTCTATCGGTCCCTTGGCTTCCTGTTCCGCCCACTACGGTGTATCAAAAGGCACGGTAGCTCTACACAGCCCTTTATGGAGACAAAGGAAAATTATTACAACTGTATTTATAGGGCAGCCTCTATCGGTCCCTTGGCTTCCTGTTCCGCCCACTACGGTGTATCAAAAGACACGGTAGCTCTACACAGCCCTTTATGGAGACCAAGGAAGATTATTACAACTGTATTCAGAGGGCCCTCACAGAGTGTTCCACAAGGTCGTTCTAGAAGCACCGTGAGGAGGCGAGAAGCGTCCAGTCAAGGATACTCTGCCCGGATTGGCTGGCATTCTGACCAATCAGGGCATGCCTTCGTTCGGCCCGGGTCCTGCATGTGACACATCCGTCCAAATGATGTGATGTTCGGTTATTAGGGATGGCTGGTCTCCGAACATATGGTCACTACGGCACAGGCTTTTAAAATGTGGATATTCCCTAAATCTCCCTACTCAAGCTTTATGTGGCACACGAAACGAGCGAAAATCCAAAACAAAAAGGAAATTGTACTCTGGACAGTCGTGCATAATTTCTTTATTGGATTGCATTTCCCCATTACTTCGACTTACAAAATACCAGGTAAATTCGGCCGGTTAAAAAGCGATTATTCAGGAGAAAAGGAGGTTTCGAATAGGTATTCCCTGATCAGAATTAAACTCTTTTGTATATCAAAGCGCCTTCTGTTCACAGGAAACCATCACCAGATCAACACCTGGAAGAAACTGCTTCCATAACTGACGTTTTTCTCATTACATTAGGAGTACAACATTCCCTCTTTATAAGGAATTTTTACTCAATGGATACGTTGAGGAAATCGATTTTGTGGCCGAATTTGCTAGCAACGTGAATTCTCTCCAGCAATCGGACAGGAAACACTTTCCACACCACATCACACTACTAAAGCCTGAGGCGTGAAACATAGGATGTTTTATCTGTAGCCCTGATCTCGATTGGCTTGCCAAATAAGTCACAAAAACAACGAATTCTGGTCACCCAAAACAAGCTAGGACACGGAAGGGTATAGTCGGTTCGTGGTCGAATGCTGAGACCCCAAAGGTGTTCATCCGACGAAATGACAGTCGGAAGATTTCACTCATAAAAAGGAGTCCTCTGCATCGCAGGGAGCGAGAACAAGGCAATCGAAAGCACGTGAATGAACATCATCAAGTGTGCCAAGGTTCAAAACAAAGAGGACATTAAGAACTAATGAACCAAAGACTTGTGTTCCCCAAGAACATGGTTCTTCCAGGATTTACAGGGGAACCACACGCAGAGGTTTGTTCGACTTGAAAAAGAGCGCACGGAAACATGCAGTGTTACGATTTTTCCTGGCATCCGGGTGGCGCATTCTTTTATTGGTTTAATCTGTTTATAAAATATATTTATGAGCTTAAGGTGGGCTTTATAGCCGTGTTAGATCCCACTCTAATGATAAGCCAAGCCCCTAACAGAGCAACACATCCCAATGAAAAAACAGTTGGTGATCTTGAGTGGTGTTTCACTGAGAAATTTGACCTAATCGTGGTGTGTGTATCTTTGTGACCCACTGAGCTATAGCGGGAAGTTTAACCTTAACACCCGTAGAGTTTCTCATGTCAGGTTGCTCAGTGGATAGAGTTTTGACGAACGCAGTCTTCTAGTCCTCCGTGTTGCGGGTTGGAACAGGCAGGGCGGTTTGTTGCTCGAAAAAATGTGGTACTAAGCCGAGAACCACCGTGGTCAGGCTCGTGAGCCAAAGGCTTTGGTTGAAGATCCTAATCCCTCTCGTGTGTAGGTGTGGG